CCCTCTCAAAATGATATACAAAGATCACCCATCACTGATCGGCAGCCACCTCTGGGGTGAAGGGAGACAGCTGATGTACAGCCAACAACGCCACTACACACGAGTTTGGGGCAGGCAGCACAGAATAATAATACGGCCGATCCAATGAGAAATGGAGGTAGGCAGAATGTAACTAGCTTTGTTACAACAGGCCAGGTCACTGGGGTTAACACCTGCAAAAGTGCTGTGGAGTCTCAGTGAACCCAAATGGCCAGGAGCTCCTTAGACGGCTGCAAAATGCTTCCAAAGTTGTATTATTATTTATTACAGGAGCTCAATTTCACGTCTCCTCTAAGAGATGTTTCTGCCAGAAATCGTGTCCCCTCACGCCATGCTGGGACACCGGCTTCCGTTCTGCCTCAGCACCTACCCCGCCTACAACACCCAACTTCCTGCAGCCCCCGAGGTGTTTCTTGGAGGTCTCCGCATCCAGCTCAAGCAGTTGCAGTGGGAGAGGCCTGACACGGTCCCAGCACGAGGCACTCTGGCAGGCTGGGCTGCCCAGCCACCCCACGCAAGGCTGCGCAGCTACTCACTGCGGCCATGGCTGATCACTCAGCTGATGAGCCATCAGAGCTCAATTGCTCTCCGCTCCATGTGACCAGAGCCTGGCCATTGTGAAGCAATACGTGTCAATACCCCTGACTGCACAATGTGAATGACCAATCACCCAGTAGAGCTGAAAGCTTGGCTCTGACGCGGACTGTGCTAACAACAGGGTGAAAGGACACCCTGGCAAAGGACAACAAGCCCTGAGCCCCGTGGAAGTTTCATTCGATCCTCCAAACAGGGGCTAGGTGTTGGGATGCTGCCCAGGCCCTGGCCTGTGGGAGAACTGGGCAGGCTGGGCGAGGCAGGGACCTGCAGCCAGAACAACTGAAAACAGAGCTGGTGATAATGGGAGTCTGATTAGCTTCAACTGGCTACCAGATGCCCTGAGCCACAGACAAGGTGGGGTGGGGAATGCCGATGCTCGGGCGGGGCTACTGCCTGTGAAAGCTGGGCTGGTGCTCTCTGCTTTGGTTCGATTCTTTGCCGAGTCTCTGACCCTTACCTGTCTGATAAGCCAGGAAGGAGTAAAGCAAAGGGGGTGGGATTATCTATGAGACACCTCACCCCACCCCACCCCCACCCCCACACACAGAGGTTTGGGTTTTGTTGGTGTCTGAGTTTTTCTCAGGCTAAATGAACCCGGTTGACCAGTCTGAATCCAGTGCAAAGCAGCCCCAAGCCATGCGTGCGTGCTGGCTGGGCTGGCTCCCACGTTCAGCTGCAGCACGGCACGCTAGGTAAGCAGGGAATACGTTCTCTGGCCCAGTCGCTCCCCACCAGCCGGAACGAGCCGCTCCTGGCGGTAGTGAAAGGAATTAACGGGGCTCTTCACCTGGTTCTGGTTTAATGCAAACTGGCGAGACAGTTGCTCTTACACATGAGGGATTGACAGCCCTGGCTAGACCCAGCCAGAGCACCGGCCACTTCTCCAGGCAGCTCCACCCAAGGCATCCTAGTCCTGACCCCCAGCACCATGGTTATTCCACTCCGAGCTCTCCGAGTGGGGAGACTGCCCATGAGATCAGGGGCAAGGCAGAGACCAACTCAGCCTCATTCCTGCCATAAAAAGGCTTTGAACCCAGATCCCCAGAGGCGAACGGTTACCAACTGAAGAACGGGAGACTTGCTTTCCTGAGAGCCTGGCTCTTGCATGATGCGTCTTGCGCATGCAGGGAACTATAAACAGAGTGATTGCCACTTGCGCTGAGAGGCACCTACGTTCCCCAGAAACTACTCTGATTTCCTTTCAGGGATTAGCAGAAAAAGGAAGTGGTTTCCAGGAGCCAGACCGTTACACACCATGTGCCAGATGTGTGTGCAATCGCAGGACAGTTGGCAACGCAAGGCTGCTCAACCCCACCGTGTGTTTCCCCCATGACTAGAGTGTTTCAGTGCATCAATGGAAAAAAAGAAGCATGAAATCATGTAACCACAAGTCAACTTGTAACCACAGGAGCTGACCGCAGAGGGCTCATACTGATTACACATGGTAACTGCCCTGCCACATTACATCACACAGCAGGTTTTCATCGGCTAAGTGTTTTGGTACCAACTGGCACTTCCCAGCCTATGAGTTAATTTCAGGTATACAAAACTGCCACTCAGGGTCAAGCAACCGGCTGTGAAACAGGTAAATTTCATGAGTCCATCTGCCATCATCAACTGATCCAGGGGGATTTTGTTCTGATAGGCCAGGTGCATTTTCTTACCATTAGCACATCCATACGGTTCTCAGCTCTGGCTGCTCCGGACAAGGGACAGCAGAGAGGCGGCAGCCACTTTGACTGAAATAAAACCGTGAGTGTGACCCCTCCCCCCCCCCACTCCCCAGGAAGCTATGAAAAGCTGGAGCCTTTCGCTGCTTCGAATGGCTTTCTAGGGTCTCCCCATTGGTTTGCCCCTTCGGAGCAGTAATAGAATGATCAGGATGGGGAATGTTACATGAGTGCCCTCATCTTTTCAGCTGAACATCAGGTATTTCCCCGGCACCAACTAGCTGTGCAGGTGTCTGCTATCCTCCCCCCGCCCCAGGAACATGAAATCAGGTGTCTGAATATTTTGACGTTAACTTTAAAATCCTTCCATTTAAAATAGCACCCGCCAGCTGTGTGTGGAGGGGGGGGGGGGGAGGTTGCTCTGTCCAGACTGAACACCCTGCGCAGTATGGGATTGGGGACTTTCAAAGGGGATGTTATTGAAGAAAGGCTTTAAAGAGCAACAGGAAGCCCTAATAACTTGGGAATCTGGGGTTGACGGAGCAGGCTTGAATTTCAGTTTAAACCTGTCCCCGGGGACTTGCTATTGCAGATGTCTTCAGGCATCAGCAGTCACTGCCCAAGCTGACTCTGTCTGAGTCAGCCCTTCCTGTTCTGCTCCTGGCCCTTGGCTACTGGCCCCTCCCCTCCAAGCTTGCATCGCCAGCTGTACCTACCACCCGATGTTCCTCTCGGTCTCTGGCCTGTACTGCGCACACCGAGCTCAGCTTGTCAGGCGTAACTGGCTGAGAATCCAGGGGTTAAGAAGCAACGTTTCAGTTCCCAGTGAGGTGACAGAGCCAGAGGTGTGGGCTTCCCGAAGACGCCAGTAGAGCAGGAGACTCTGTCCGTGGCTGAGATGGTGCCTGTCCATCCCCTCCAGGGCAGATAAGGGAAGGACTTATCTTGCTACTGCAGTGAATTAGACTGTAGGAGCAGCATCTGTTGGGACAATTTTGCTTTGTACCTTGGACATACAGAAAGACGGACCTCTGTGGCTTTCTTGGGGCCCAGGAGCTTGCACAGAAGATGCTTATGGTAGACATCAGTAGTGTGAACATCCAGAGGGCCGTACTCTGTGAGGGGCAGCCAGACCCTCCCTAATCCTAAGAGACACTACACGTCATGGCTCAAAACTTGGAAATGGCCTGTGGGTTCCCCCTGCTGCGGATCACTCCCTGGTTCCCAGCAAGGACCAAGCCCCAGGGCTAGGAGGGCCGTTTATAGCAAGAGTAACCCGTCCATTGCAACAAACACCAGGAGCCTTCCTACCTGCTGCTTCACAGGGATGTCTCTGACTGGCCTTCTGGGGAAACCGATCCGCCTATACGTTCTAAAGACGTCTCCAGAGCTGCCTTCACTGGGGGCCCAATGGAGGATGCTGCTGATACTTCAGTAGCAAGTGTCCTTCAGCCACTGCATTCTCCTTCCAGAACAGGATTCATTCACGGCATCGAGGTGGATTTCAGAGCAGAGAACCTCATTGTCCTGACGTTGTGTGTCAGTGGGACCCACTGGGAATCAAGCCACAGGCTCGCTGGAAATCTAGAAATACGGAACCAGGTAAACCAGGTTTAAAGTCGTAATATCGCCTTTTTCTTGATTTTTATTCGTCTTGACCTAAACCAAAACAAGGCTGCACTGCGGCTGGCTCTGGGTTTCCACAGGACCTGGGCAAAGGGACCACTACGCTCTAGACAGCTGTCTGTGACCCTCTTGCCTCCCCGACCATTTCAGATCACACATTGATTCAGACACTCAGCCTGAGAAGTAGGGGAGTCTGCAGCCATGGAGTGGGGGGAAGTGCCATGGTCTGTGGGGTGGTTCAAGCTGTCAGGGGAGATATGGCTACAGGGGGGGCCATAAAGTGCTGGCTTTGTAAGGGGAGACTCTAGGAACGGTGGCCCTTTGCTAGAACAGGCCTGGTGCAGCATTCTAGAGATTGGGAATAATCATGTAGCCTCTTTTCCATTCCGTCTATCGACTCCAGTACGATGTATATTATTGATTCATACTCCAGTCCCCAGCCGTACATCCTACCACCTTATCCATTCTGTGGAGAACTTCATAACAGCGAGAGCCCCTCACACAGCCCCAGGCTCCCCTTCCTCCCAATCCCCTATTGCTTAGCTCGCCACGTCTTGTTCTGCGGTTCCCTGGAGGCCCCTGGACTCCAGGCCGAAAGCTCCTGTGCCAAACGGGCGGGCAGAAATTCTGTTCATGTCTGTGATCTGGTTTATTCTATGGGTTCCGTACACTGCTGTGCACCAGCACCGCTAATGTTACACTAACTGTGTTTACATATGTACACGGTGCACGGTGCCATGTAGCGGGGCACCGTAGAAAAGTCAAAAACACAGAAATGGAAACAAAGCTGGGCCCAATGACCCCATTCTGCCAAAATGAGGAGGAAAAAAGATCCAGAAAGGACGAGCTGGTGAAGAAGACAGGCCAAGACGCTCAAAGACAAACAGACCTGAATAGAAAGGCCCTATGCTAGGACTCAAAGAGAATGAGAGTTCGTTCTTTGGGATTAGCATCCGATTTAACTCCAGACCTTGACCAGAGGCACAGTGGCTTATCCCTTGGGAGAGAAGCTGATTCCACAATTACACTCCCCACTGAACTATTATCCATCTACCTGTATCACCCAAGTTTCTTCAGAGAAGAAATCTGGGTCCCTTCTCCCAAAGCTCAACATTCTGGCCGATCAACCACCCCATCTAATTCACCCCGCCGATGGGACGCCCGGGCCACAAAGCAGAAGCAAGCAGCTGCCGGGATATTTTTGCACAGCCGTGTGTCACTGTGCGTATATCTTCGGTGGCGGAACCCAGTTGACCGTCCTTGGTAAGTCACTCTAATATTCATTTACAATCGTTTCCCAGTTGTTGCGGGTTTTGAATTTTTTTCCTTTGTCTCCCCTTCTCAACTTCTCTGTCTATTCCGGGCTGGGTGCTCTTCTACTCTGTCCTAATCACCATGAAAATGTGTGCGTGGGCGGAGGGGGGTTACTCTGTTGAATGACAAAACGCAGGTCCTGTGTTGTTACAGATTTTTCCAAATGTTTTTGTCCTTTCGTTACTGATGAGTCCCCATTGATCAAATCTTTGGTCACATAATGGGGTTTTGTTTTATTACAGGCGATAGTTGGGGGGGTGCCTCCTAATTTCAGAGCCCAGCCAAATTGTATTTTAATTGTTTATCTAACAAAACTTTCGATGTCAGTTTTCACTCTCTGATGGAAAGATACCCAGGTAAGGCTATGGTAACGAGGAGAAAATATTCAGGAGTTTGAGATATAAGGTTTTAGTTTCGTAGAAGACTGGTCAGTCCTGCAGCCAAAAAAAAAGGGGGGGGGGAGGCTCTCCATTTCAGAAATGGTCAAAAAAGACAGCTGCTTTCTTTTTTTCTCATGTCTAATGCTTTTTCTGAGGTTATGCTGGAAAAGTTAGAAGGTTTTGGTGAGAGTTTTCAACTCAGAGTCAGAAAATGGGAGCCGTCAGTCAGCTGAGAGGGAGCTAGAAACTTCTCTTGAAAATATAGGTGGATGCTTTAGGTCAGTCCCGGGGGCAGAAGCAATTAAAAAGAGACTTTGAATTCTCAGTTGCAATTAAAAGGGATACAGAGCAAATTCTGATGACTTCTTCTTGAAACATGAGACACCCTCTTTTGCAAATAGTCCGTTCGGTTTTAAGCATCTGGCTGGCTGCCTAGTCACTGTTGAATCGGAGCTTGCTCAGATTGAAAAGATCCAGAGGAGGATTTCTGCTTGTCATGCAGATACTTAGATATTACTGTGATGGGCGCTAGGAATACCCGCGGTAGCTGGATAGGCAACAAAGATGGTCTTAAATAGCGAGACTCACGTATGGATGAGGAACTGCTCCAAGTAGGACTCTGTAGCCTGGAACAGAGAGGTGCAAGAGAGGATTCAGTTGAAGTGTTTAAGATTATGAATGAATGATTGTGATTGTTAGCAAGCGAACACGGCTCACTCCTCCCTTCTCACTGCCCGTTGAGCCGAGGGGTCTCTAGATGGAAGGATTCGCTAAGTAAAAGGGTGTATCATCCCCAGGGGAGATGCTAGAGTAAAACACTGTAGCTTGAGTTAACAAGAAGCTGGATACTTTTATGACCAGTTAACGCCACTGTTCTGTGTCTTGCACATGCAAAGGCAGGGGAATTGATATCTTGTGCTTCGGGACATAGGATAGGACCATTGCGACAGGACAGAAGAGTGTCGCTGCCCAGCGTTGCACGGCTGCATTGAAACGGGCCAGATTATGAATTCACTGGGAACTGTGGTGGCACAGTGCCTCTGAGAATCAGATCAGTAGGAATTGCTGTGCAGTGTCAGACCACGGAGCTGGCAATTACCACACATGCTTAAGAGGAACGTGAACAAATCTTATTACCTAATTTTCAGAGGTGCTGCGCGCCCGTCGCTCCCAATAGCGGTGCTGGGTGGTCAGCATCTCTGAGAATCAAGCCGTGTGTGCAGGTCTGAACAGTCAGAATATGCAGGACTCAGTCAAGGGATGATTTCCTTTGGGAGTTTATCCATAGATATTTATTCCTCTCTGCTAGCGAGAGGGAGACCAGCAGCAGACAGGGTCACACCAGCAACGTTAGAATTTTTTGATTGGGTTTTTTTTTTGGAGAAAGCTTCTCGTGAAACATCTAGGACTGTGGTTTTCAACCCTGGGGGACCACGGACTATGGCTAAGATTGCCAAAGGGGTCCGCACCTCCATTCAAAAACTTTTAAGGGTCCGCAAATGAAAAAAGGTTGAAAGCCACTGAACTAGGAGTTTTCGAGATTCTGATGGGACTAACATATTGTCATTTAAGAGAAAATGAACCCTGATCTAGAAATGATGGGCCAAATTCTGCTCTCGTTACATTGGTGTAAATCTGGAGTAACTGGATTCACTTTGTCCTAGAAGATATTAAAATGATGGGTTCTCCTTCCAACAGCGTGTGTGTGTGTGTGTGTGTGTGTGTGTGTACATACACAAACATTTATATATATATCAATTAGCCTCTCTCAATCAAAGCCGCGAATTTCCAATAGCTGAGAATCTGACCACAGCCTTTAACTCTCAGTGACTATCAATGACCACTGAATCCAGTGGGCCTCTGTGCTAGCACATGGGTCTCCTTGGGGGAACTCATGGCAGGATGAGGGAGTACGTCTCTGAAGGATCAGTTTCCCTTCAGGAGGAGGGAATCTCCCTACTTATTGGTTGCAGCATTAACTGCAACTTAGCCCCAGCAGGTGCTTGGGGCGGCCACTCCAGAGAGGGGCAGCACGTCCAGCTGTTCCGCGGCAATTCGGCGGACAGTCCCTCACTCCTGCTCGGAGCGAAGGATCTCCCGCCAAATTGCCGCCGCAGATCGCGATCGTGGCTTTTTTGTTTGTTTGTTTGGTTTGGCTGCTTGGGGCGGCCAAAACCCTGGAGCAGGCCCTGCGTAGCACTGAACAATCAATGTAATACATTGATGAAACACGGGGAACTCTAGATTGCTCTCTGATGCTCTTGTTTGTTCTGCAATCAGTGCCAGGAATATTAGCAGCTCTGGCAGTTGTTAGCAAGGAGGTTTCTTTAAACATGAGCTGAAATTGGCTTCTGAAAATATTGGGCCATATTCTTCTCGGTTACTGTGAAGTGCATTGATTCCACGGGATTTACACAGCGTAGATGAGAGGAGTGTTTGCCCTAGAGAATCTAGTTAACTATAGATATATCTTTGAATTGCCAAATGCTGTACAATTGAACGCAGGAGAGCGAGCCCTTCTGGCTCTCTCCTCAGATAAAATATTGCCCCACTCCTGCAATTGGATCCACACAGGCAGACTCACAGAGCATCTTTGAAGCCAATAGGAATCCAGCCCGGGCCAATGGTATGGATCTGATTGCAGGATCAAGACCTAAGAGGCTAAATTTCTCCAACTTGAACACACAGAAATAATCGGCCACATGGCTCCTTAGCTGGTGGGAGAGGGAACAAGTACAAGGAGAGATGCTAGGGAATGTTTAACACTGGAGATTATTATATTGCCAAATTCTGGTGCAGGATTTCTCTGCGAGGATTATCTGTATCCATAGAATAATCCTTTCAGTGGAAAAACATGATCAGGGAAATACCTAGTAAGTCATTTGAAAAGCATAGAGTCACTGCTGCAGTGTTGTGCTAGCACCGTGGTTTAGCTGAACTTAGCTTTTCCTGTTCTACTCCACTCTGTCGTTGCCGGATAGAATCCAGGGATGTAGATGAGTTTTGATTTGATTTTTAATGGTAAGACTTTGTCGTTACAAAGCAGCATTGGTTTAGATTTCAGGCAGTTTCTCCCTCAGGCCCCACAGACTTTATTTAAAAAAATAAAACTTTATAGACCCGAAGAGCCAGATCCTCCGCTGGTGTCATGGAACTACATTGATTTATAGTAGGTGAGGCTCTAGCTCAAAATATCTAGTACCTTGCATTCTGCACTGGCAGCGTCTGAATTTGATGTTCCACTGTGTATCTGAATTCTCTTTGGCTTTGTTCCTAATCTGACTATGAATCACATTGTCTTGTAGGTCAGCCAAAGGCATCTCCTACCGTGCACCTCTTCCCTCCATCCTCGGAAGAGATAAGTACAAAGAGCAAAGCCACACTGGTGTGTCTGCTGGACAGCTTTTACCCAGGGGCAGCCCAAGTCACCTGGAAAGCTGACGGCAAGCAGATCTCCACTGGAGTGGAGACGACCAAACCATCCAAACAGAGTGACAACAAGTACATGGCCAGCAGTTACCTGTCTCTGGCTGCATCAGATTGGAACACCCATGAGACCTACACCTGTCAGGTGACACACGATGGGAACAGCATCGAGAAGTCTTTGCAGCGCTCACAGTGTTCTTAACCCTCTGACCCTCAGATGGCTCAGCTGGTCCTTGTGTCTATCAGTAGAGTTTTCCCCAAAAGAGCCTGGATCAGTCTGTAGCATCACCTTAATGCTGATCTCCAGCCGCTCTGCTTCCTGTTTGATGTGGGGGATCTTTGACGATCCCTTTGATATCTGCTTTTATTCCCATGTTCCCACTGCTCTCACCCCCCTGCATGTCCTTCCTGCTTTAGTCTCTGATGCAGCCTTGTTATGATATTAATAAAACCAGAAACATTCAGCTATCACTGTCTGTGAAGAGTTAAAATTATTGCCTCTTTCAAATGTTTTCAAAAAGTTGTTTATCATGATTCTGCAATAAAAGATGGACATTTATCTGCCAATAGTTTATTCTTCTGGTTCCAAAGGCTGAACTGATTTCTCTCAATTTATCTGTCAATAACTTATTCCCAGCAAATATCAGTAAGAGTTAGTAGCCACTGGGTAAGATGTGTTCATCATTATAAAACTCTCTCTTGGATTTTCATCTGGAGTAGATTGGCCCCATGCCATTGAATTGAGTGGAGTGAGGCCGATTTGCACCCGCTGATGATCTCACCTTGTTTGCCTTTGTCTAGCAATAAAACCACTAGCACCAAGCTTGGGAGTTACCCTGAGTCTGGTGGAAGGTGCTACTGCTCTAAGCAACAGAGGTTGCAGCTGCCAGGGCAGAAATATTCTGGTGGGACCCACTGCCCGGTTTCTCTTGGGAGCTCCTATGGTCTGAACTCAACCCTAGTTCAGACCATAGTTATGTGGCACTTGAGTCCCACTTAAACACTATGGAGCAAGCGTAAGTGGGTCTTTCTGTTAGTGATGCCATGGCTCTTTTGCTGGCACTCTGCACAAGAGCGTCACTTGACCCACCTTCGAATGGCGTAACTGGAACACGAACAACAGACCTCATGCTACAACAGTCCACTCAATTCACTGAGTATCTCTGGCTGCTGGTGTCCCTGGCTGCCCACAAGTCACAAAGACAGCAATGCAGCCAGGGAAACGCACCTTCCCATTGAATGCCAAACTGCACTGTGGTTCTCTGTGTGGGACCCACTATTTGTTCACGGGGGCGGATGGCGATGGGCTTGCCAATTACAAACGAATGTTATTAGGTAGGAGGAGCTTTGAATAGATTTTTTAAAATCAAAATATCTTTGTTCCGAGCTACTGTGTCCCTGTTCCTTCTCCCAAAGGTGAATGTCTCAACAGTGACCTTGCAGCTCCAATAAGAGCGTAAACAGATTATAATTTACCAGCAGAGGCCTGGCAAATACAGTCATAGATACATTTACAGTTACAAATGTGAACTCCAAATGAAAATACGTCCTTTGTAATAGCTTGAAAAGCCATAAAGCCATGGAGCCCCGCAAGGGAAGGATTATATTAGTCAACCCTAGCTCCATTTATCTGTGGTCTGTCATTCATTGTGCTGTAAGGTCCTCATTACTGAAAAGAATTCTTATTGGATGTAAATGGTTTGCCTGGTCGTTAGCATGAAATCTCAGCTGCTCACACAGATATCGCCAGCCTGCTCCCCTGGACCGGGAAGCGTGGGTACAACTAGTAACAGAATTCCTGGAGGGTGAAATTCACCCTGTGCAATGGCCTTCATGAAGCCAATGAACCGTTTACGTGAGTGGGCTTCACTAGTACATAGGCCTCTTGCAGGACTCCTGAATTACACCCAGAGAGAAACCACCAGGGAGGCAAGAATTCAAGGACCCTGTCTCCCAGGCTGGTACCGGGGTCACCATGCTACAGGAAAAGAGAAGGCTAAGATGAAGCATAGCCTGGTGGAGTAGCTAGTTTTACTCCAGGCCCTGAGGTTTTTTCCCCCACACGTGACTTCCCAGTCTGCTGTGGCACCTATGCAAGCTAAATCAAGTGTAGGGGAAAGAAACCAAATAACTCTATAATGCCAATTTTTTTAAAAGACTCCAGAGGTGATCCTGGAAATTACAGGCCGATAAGCCTAACTTCAGTATCTGGCAAATTGGTTGAAACGATAGTAAAGCTCAGAATTATCAGACATAGAGATGAACTTGATATATTGGGGAAGAATCAACATGGCTTTTGTAAAAGAAAAATCACACCTCACCAATCTATTAGAATTCTTGAGGGTGTAAACAAGTATGTGGACCAGGATGATCCAATGGATATAGTATACTTTGACTTTCAGAAAGCCTTTGCTAGCCAAAGGCTCTTAAGCAAAGTAAGCAGTCATGAGATAAGAGGGAAGGTCCTTGCATGGATCAGTAACTGCTTAAGGACAGGAAACAAAGCGTAGGAATAAATGGTGAGTTTTCACAATGGAGAGAAGTAAATAGCAGGGTCCCCCAGGGATTTGGATTGGGACCAGTGCTGTTCAACATACTAATAAATGGTCTGGAAAAGGGGATAAACAGTGAGGTGGCAAAGTTTGCAGATGATAAAAAATTACTCAAGATATTTAAGTCCAAAACTCACAGCAAAGAGTTGCAAAGGGATCTCACAAAACTCAACAAAATAGCAGATGAAATTCAATGTTAATTACATAATCCCAATGATACATATAAAATGATGGGGTCTAAATTAGCTGTTACCACTCAAGAAAGAGAACTTGGAGTTATTGTGGATAGTTCTCTGAAAACACCCACTCAATGTGCAGAGGCAGTCAAAAAAGCGAACAGAATGTTAGGAACCATTAAGAAAGGGATAGATAATATGACAGAAAATATCATATTGCCACTTTATAAATCCACAGTACGCCCACACCTTGAATACTGTGTGCAGTTCTGGTCACCCCATCTCAAAAACAATTTATTAGAAGTGGAGAAGGACAACGAAAATGATTAGGGTATGGAACAGCTGCCATATGAGGAGAGATTAAACACACTGGAACTGTTCAGTTTAGAAAAGAGACGGCTAAGGCGGGATATGATAAAGGTCTATAAAACGATGAATGGTGAGGAGAAAAAGTGTTATTTACCCCTTCTCATAACACAAGAACCTGGGTTCACTCCATGAAATTAATAGGCAGTGGATTTAAAACAAACATAAGCAAGTTCATCTTCACACAACACTCGGTCAACCTGTGGAACACGTTGCCAGGGGATGTTGTGAAGGCCAAAAGGATAACTAGGTTTAAAAAGAATTAGAGAAGTTCATGGAGGATAGGTCCATCAATGGCTAGAAGCCAAGCTGGTCAGGGATGCAACCCCATGCTCCAGGGGTCCGAAAGCCTCTGACTGCTAGAAGCTGGGACTCAGCGACAGGGGATGGATCACTGGATGACTGCCCTGTTCTGTTCACTCCCTCTGGCACCAGCCACAGTTAGAAGACAGGCTGGATGGACCATTGGTCTGACACAGTCTGGCCATTCTTATGTTCTTTATGTAGAGTCATTATAAAGTGAAGTCAGCGTTACCGACTCAGGACAATCCAGCTACCTCCTTTCCAAGGCCCTACGTGGTGTCATTGTGATAGTGCAGTCACTCCCCGTGCACAGGCTCATGCAGCTCTCAGATGTTTCTGCCCTTCACACAGAAACTCTCGACAAAGCACCCTGGGCCGTGACAACAGCTGCACCGTGTAGGGTGACCAGATGTCCCGATTTTATAGGGATAGTCCCGATTTTGGGGTATTTTTCTTATATAGGCTCCTATTACCCCCCACCCCGTCCCGATTTTTCACACTTGCTGTCTGGTCACCCTAGCACCGTGCCTTGGAACCTGGCCACTCAGTGAGCATGTCAGTAAAGGCTGTGCCTTTGTAACAGGTGAGGGGTGCTGTGTGGAGCTGCACCGTCCCTGCAGGACTATGGGGAAGGTGGCATCTCAGCCAGGCCTGGTATCTCTGGTGCTGTCGCCTATGCATAGGGATTGGACAATCTGCTCCTTCCATTAGGATGCTCCTGCCCCACTCACTGGTGGGTTTGCCCTGCTCCCTGGCCAGCTCTTTCCCATATTCACCATATAACCCTTCCCAATGGGAACAGCATCCCCGGCGAAATACCCTTCTGTTTGCCAGCCCTTGCTGGCATTCGGCTCCAGACTTGATTGCATTGATGCAACTATAATATTTCTTTGTACACAGGGAACATAAGAACATCCATACTGGGTCAGACCAAAGGTCCATCTAGCCCAGTATCCTGTCTTCCGACAGTGGCCAATGCCAGGTGCCCCAGAGGGAATGAACAGAAAAGGTAATCACCAAGTGAGCCATCCCCTGTCGCTCATTCCCAGTTTCTGGCAAATGGAGGCTAGGGACACCATCCCTGCCCATCCCGGCTAATAGCCATTGATGGACCTATCCTCCATGAACTTATCTAGTTCTTTTTTGACCCCTGTTATGGTCTTGGCCTTCACAACATCCTCTGTGGATGCACAAATGGGGCATTGGTATTATATTTTATTAGCAATGAATTGGCCGGCATTTCCAAAGGATTCTAAGAGATCAAAGTGCTCAGACTCCATTGATTTCCAATGGGAGCTAGCACCATATTTCCAGCCCTCTTTGAAAATCCTACTCATATTATGTGTACGGTTTGGATTTATATGGGGGCTAAACCCATAAAAAACCCGGAGCAAATCCAAACAGCTACAAAAAAACAGCCCCCACATTACTCTGCTGCCTGGCGGGCGAAGTGAAATTCCCTCTAGTGCAGAGAACCACCACAAGGGTTACACACCACTTCAGTCCCACCTACATCCCCGTTCAGCCTGTGGCCATCCATTATTAGACATCATTAACCCTTCATTTGCCGGATTAAAATAGTGGCCAAAGCAAACATCAGACACAAGTAATGCAGTCTGAGGAACCTGAGCAAAAGGAAAACAGGCCCTGATTCAGCAGAGCAGTTAAGCACGTGCCGACCTTTAATTAAGTTAAACATCTAGATGAGTCACTCCTGAATGATTCAACAGTTAGGGTGTGCGTGTTAGCTCCTATTCGTGAGCTTTTACTCACCTGAGTTAGTCTCATGGATTTCAAGAGGACTGTTAGGGTGAAGAAGTGCTCACCAGTGGGTGAAATTCACCCTGTGCAGGGGACCTGCATAATGTCTATGCACCACAGAAGTCCTACATCAGCCCTGTTATGTTAGATTTAAATGGAACATAGGCCTGTGCAGAGCCTAAGCCCAGGGGTGACTTTACCCTACTCTGGGTAACGGACACATGACCCAGCCCTCAACTGGGAGAATGATGAAGTCACTTAACATATCAAATCAGCAAGTGCCACCTTAGAGGTGTGAGGGGATTTCTAATAACCCAGAACATCTTCCCTGGAAGAGCTACACATTCATCACTGAGAATTAGACAGAACTCCTGACGCTCACCCCCAG